CAGTACAATCTCACTACAGCCAGTCAGTACAATCTCACTACAGCCAGCCAGTACTATCTCACTACAGCCAGTCAGTACAACCTCACTACAGCCAGCCAGTACTATCTCACTACAGCCAGCCAGTACTATCTCACTACAGTCGGTCAGTACTATCTCACTATAATCAGTCAGTATTATCTCACTACAGTCAGTCAGTACTATCTCACTACAGTCAACCAGTACCATCCCACTACAGTCAGCCAGTACTATTTCACTACAGTCAGTTAGTACTATCCCACTACAGTCAGCCAGCACTATCTCACTACAATCAGTCAGTACTATCTCACTACAGTCAGTCAATATTATCTCACTACAGCCAGCCAGCACTATCTCACTACAGCCAGCCAGCACTATCTCACTACAGTCAGTCAGCACTATCTCACTACAGTCAGTCAGCACTATCTCACTACAGTCAGTCAATACTATCCCACTTGTACTATCCCACTACAGTCAGTCAGCACTATCTCACTACAATCAGTCAGCACTATCCCACTTGTACTATCCCACTACAGTCAGTCAGTACTATCCCACTGCAGTCAGTACTATCTCACTACAGTCAGCCAGCACTATATCACTACAGTCAGTACTATCTCACTACAGTCAGTACTAACTCACTATAATCAGTCAGTATTATCTCACTACAGTCAGTCAGCACTATCTCACTACAGCCAGTCAGCATTATTCACTACAGTCAACACTATTTCACTACAGTCAGTCAGTACCATCTACCTCACTTGTCCCTACTGGAGCATCTAGAAGTCCTGCACACATCACACATCTGTTACCTGTTGCCAATTCCATAAAAATTCTTTTAAATTGATTTTTCGAGACAGGGTTTCTCTGTAGCTTTGGAGCCTGTCCTGGAACTTGCTCTGTAGACCAGGCTGGACTTGAACTCACAGAGATCCGCCTGCTCTGCCTCCCAGAGTGCTGGGATTAAAGGTGTGCGCTACCACAGCCCAGCCTCCTGCCAATTCTAGAAATGTTTAATTAGTCAAATAACTCATGTATTTATCTTATTTAGCTTAGAAAGCACATGAATTCCATGGGGTAGCCATCCACACAGTAGATATGGAGAAAAGACTGATGGTTTTCAGGGCACACCTGACCTCATACTCCCCTGAGTCTATGAGTAAATGAGGAATCACAGGCAATCCCCAACACCCAGGGTCTCCCCATCCTTACTGTAAGTTAAGAGTTTGGACTTGTTTGATTGGAAATGAGTACCCTCCGTGTCTCTGTCACAACCATCTAGAAAGTAACTGAGGACTGCATTAATTTAATTTGTAAGCTTAGAAGAAACTGGCTTTTCACAATAAATCTAGCTCTATAGAGGGAGACTGATGTTCAAACACCAGTTTTGCTTTAAATTCAGAAAGAATCTCTAGAAAGTTGATGGCTTTGCTGCTGGGACATCGCATCCGCTTCCTTCCACTTCCAGCACCAGCTCTGAGAGCACAGCTGTGCCTCTCCAGGACACTATTTTCCTCGGTTAACAAAACTCGAGGTCAGCTTTCTCAGCCAGAACAAGCTTCAAGCTTTAAATTTAGCAACAAGACGGAGTTCTTCATAACAAAGATTGCAATTCATTTTTTAAAAAAACTCCATGTTTCAAAAAATCCTGAAGGATCTACCTGAAATAATCTTTAAATGTATACATAACTTCAATTCAGAAATGGGAATTCTCCAATTAAAACAATACATATGCAGTTTAAAAACATAGAAAATGTTTATAAAATAACCAGACTTTACTCTTAAAGTTAATCATTACGTAAAGCATCTGATAAGTAGGGGATATAGTCACACATATATCATATGGACGAAGTACTCAAGGGACATGTCTATTAATAATCATTTACAACTTAACTCATCCAACACTTCCCCAATTCTAATAATCTTATGCACACACATATATATTAGTATTTTAGATGCATTTTACTTTATTTATGTCTCTCACTTGTGTGCATATGCCCACAGAGGTCAGAAGAGGGTGTCGTCCAGTTGTGAGCCGTCAGATGAAGCCTGTGCTAGGCAAGGATCTGAGCCCTCAGAAGAGCAGCAAATGCTCTTAACCACCAAGCCGGCTCTCCAGCCCCAATCTAAGTATTTTAAACACAAACCCTAGATTCATGACTTGTCATGTTAAGTATCTTGGTAATACAGGGCAGTTTAAACAACAGGATCAGGACACTTCTGAAGGGCTGCTTGTCCCTGTGAGTTTTCAGAAACTCACCCTAAACCCAAGGCAGCCACAGCTCTCGTCAACTGCCTTTGCCATCAGGCTTTGGGTTCCGTTTTGTTTTTAAGTTCTGCTTGTTTGTTTTGATCTATGCAGCTATTAGAGGTAATATGCCCTGTGGAATTAAGTCAAGGCAGGCTTTGAGGGGAATGAGCTGAGATGTTTAGCCACCGTATATACGGGGCATGTGAGCCAGCAGGTCTCGAGCAGTGGCATAAGTTAGTCGGTTGCTGCTCCCACCTCCTCAGCTTCTAAATAGAACAGTGGGGGAATTCTGGGTCTTCACACTCCGTGAGCACTAGGCAAGCACTCTGCCACTGAGCGATAATTCAAAGAAGTTGCATTTATAAATTTCCCAGGTGATGCTGATCCTACTGGTTATGGGTCCACAATTCTGAGAAATACTGATCTAAATAAAATTTTGTTTTCTCCAAATAACAAACCCAACTAAAGCACATATTAATCTATGAGAAAATACAATCTACATTCTGGGAGAAAGCAAATTACTACTATATATTGTACTTTGAACTAGAAAAATATTTCAGTATCTTTGTATTTAGAAATCAAAAGTCCACACTTAAAAAAAATAAAAAAGATGATATTTTATATTTTCAAGGGGTATTTACCGCAAGATACATTTGAAGACCATACTTTCTGATATATTTCATTAGTCTTATATTGACTTCAATTACTGATATTTGGCAAATCTTTCCATTTTTATAAATGTTTCTTTTCTTGTAGAGCTGAGAATTGAACCTACACCCCTGAATATGCTAAATATGCACTCTACAGCTAAGACAGACCCTCAGTCCCATACTAGTTCTTTCCATTACTAACTATGCACTTCCCATACTAAATATGCACTCTACAGCTAAGACAGACCCTCAGTCCCACACTA